TCTGTTGGCGTTTAAAATTAAAACACTAAAGTTCACTGTCTTTTGAAATTATTAACAGTTTCTTTAAGACTTTTACAAGAGGTTCAAAAGAGACCACAAAAGTTAATCACAAATTAGCAATAGAAATAACAAATCAACATATCAAATTGACCACAACCCAAGGCAGCAATACAAGCATTATTGGCAGAAAATGAACTATATCTAACAACATAGTTAAACTACAACACTATATCAGAACCAACAAGTTATACCCTCCCCTTCAGGAATACAAAGGTTGTTCACTAAATATATCAAAAAAACAAGGAGAATACATCTTTTTCAAAAATAAAAACAGTTTGATCTGCATACCAGTCCACAAAAGCAAAACTAGCACAAGAGACATACCCTCTAAAAAACTTTGTCCACAAAGCAAAATATCTCCCGACAGTTTACACAATATTCTAAAAGACAAATTTTCATACCCACATCTTCTCCCTACTATCCATTACTAACGACCAAATAATAATTCACAAAACAATCATCAAAAAATATCTTGAAACAATAGAACAAGCATATGAGAATCTAGCAACAATACACCATAAAATTGGAAAACTCAAAGAAATCATAGCTTACACAGATGGTTCCTTAGATTCAAACCAAAACATGGAATTTGGATGGCACATAATCCAAGACTCAGAAATAAGCTTTCAAGAGAAAATAAACAAATTTTCACCATTTACAAGAGCAGAACTCACAGCAATTTTTATGCTTCTGACAACAGTCCCAGCCAATAGCAAAATAACCATCTGTAGCGATAGCCAAGCAGCTCTAGGAGTGATCAACAAGGCACAATCTAACCCATCCAACTTAAGAATCCCGAGAAACAACAACATTATCAACTTGATAATCCACATCATAAAAACCCAAAAGCTCAATATTTCTTGAAAAAAGATTAAAGCACACAGCAATGACAAACATAATGACAAAGTAGACCTCCTGGCAAAAGAAGCCACACTTACAGAAAAATCATCAGAAATCAACTACACGCCCATTAGAAACAATTTATCACAATGAACACAGGAATGGAATGGGTACATCTTAGACAATATGATCACAACCTCAATCAAAAGCCTAATTAGAACAAAACACATCCTAAATTGGAGAAGCTTGAACCGCAACCTCAACACAACAGATTCCCCCTCTACATTAAACAACATAGCATGGGAAGCATTTCTCATCAATAGACAACCATCCAAATTTACAACAGAAATAACAAATCAAAATGATCATATCAGTAGATCATTCAGAGCATGACTCTGGAACTTAGAACTCTCCATCTAGGAAGAACCACAAAAGAGCAGCAAACACATACACTGACAACTAATGTCTTAACTATCAACAAATTGAAACAAATACACACTGTATGCGGTATAAAGGAAACAGAATCAACATACTGTATATAAAGAACTATAACAAATTATAAATGAAGATGTAAGCAACAAAACTGACAAGCCTATCAAACACAATCTCAATAGAGATCTCAAAAAACAAGCAAGCCTCTGGATCCAAGAAGTCAAAAACTATATAGCAAGAGGTGCCCTAACAATAGAGGTAATCAAAACTATTAAAAAATATACACCGACAGAACATCAAAAGGAAACTATAAGAAACATCACTGACAGATTTCTCAATACACTCCAAGAAAGATCAAACCACAGGTGCAACGAATTTGCAAAATGGGAAAGGAACACAATATTACCCCTGGTGACAATAAGCTATGAAAAGTGACAAACAAGGAAAAAAATACAAACAAAAATATCATCCCAGGTATCAACATCATAATAAAATTCTCCAGTCATCATTAAATCAACTGGAACATAATCTATTCATTCAAAATTAAATTTTTATGAAACAGGTAAAGCCTTGGCAAATTAGTCAAGTATATATTAGTACTTGGCAATAAGCCACATGGTAGGATTTCCCTTAGTGAGTTTAATTAGGTAGACTGAGTGATAATTTGTATAAAATAAATTTGTACATACTTACCAATAAATACCTAATAAACAAGGTGTAAGCCACCCGTTTTAAAAAAAAAAATTAAAAAACTAATTTCAAAAAATTATGAATCACCCTGTAAGTGGTTGAGGTTGAAAGCATCAAACTTCTTTCTGTAAGGATATACATCTGGTTAGACAAATAAAATAAAATCAATTTTTAAGTGCTACTACAGTTTCTGAACAATCTATGAAGCTTATTGACATTAAAGTTAGTTGAATGACAGTTTCATGACAATTAAAAGAAGCTGGATTAAATGCATGAATAGCTAAAAAAAGCCATACTTTAAACCAATTCATATGCGTAAAAGACTCTTATTTGTACAGCAATATATTAAAAAACCTTTGGATTATTGAAAACAAATTATTTGATTGGATGAGTCAAAATTTAATTTATTTGGCTCAGTGAACAGTTTTTGATATATCAAAAACCAAATGAAAAGATTTAAAAATGCATGCGTTTGTTCAATCATAAAGAATGGTAGTAGATCAATAATGGTGTGGGGTTGTTTTTCGGATTATGGAATGAGACAAATTTATTTTATAGATGATGCTATGAAAGGTATTGATTATGAAATATTCTTGATCAATATTTAGAATAATCAGATCAAAAAATGAACATTGAAAATAATTTTATTTTTCAATATGACAATGATCCTAAGCATACATCTAAGATAGTGTGTGAATTTTTTTTATCTCAAAATATTGAGACTTTTCCATGACCTTCTTGTTCACCAGATCTCAATCCAATTGAACATATTTGGGATAATATAGGTTGTAAAGTTGCTAGAAAAAATCCTAAAAATAAGAAAGAGTCAAAAAAATTATTTTAGAAGTGTGGGATAGTATTACTTTAAAAGAAATAGAAAACTAGTTTTATCTTTACCTCATAGACTTTCTGTTGTCATTGCTAACAAAGGTGGTCATACAAAATATTAAAATTTTTTACAATGTATACTAGATAAAAAAAAATCGTATGAATAATTTTGATCATATAAGTTTCAATTATATTATATATTTTTTTAAAAAATATATATTATTTTAAATTTTTTATTAATATTATCTTTATGTAAGTAAATACTATTTATAATTTATATATTATAAGAATTCAATAATTTTATTATAAAAAAAAAATTAGATGTACGAACTTTTGTGCATTAGTGTATATTGCGATATACGTATATGCGCTTCTTAACAACATAATCGTTTTAATTGTGAGGGAAAAAAAGGGAAACTGATCAACGAAGAAATACAGTATAGTAAAGATTTTATATGAAAATGAGTAAAGTGTTTATGAAAATAACTTAGCAAAGGATTGCAATTAATTAAATAAAACCTGTCATAATTCCAGAAATAAATCGTCTCGGCATTATCATTAATTAATATTAAAAAAATGTAACTTCTCTTAGTTTACGCTTAGTGTTTACTTATACTGTAATGTCGAGTAATTTATAATTTAAGAGATTATAAATATGGATGCATTATACCGTATTCCTAAAATAAAGGTTGCTCGTGTATCTTTATCGTGAGTACGATATCCAAAAAATGGATCAAGTCCTTTATGGCAATATAATAGCATTCATAGATTATAATTTACCAGTATATTAACGTGTTAATGTTTACATTATACTGTAATTACAGCATATTAAATTACTGTTATACAAATATCCAATTATATTAGAACCATGGCTTTTAGTAAATAATAAATATCACATAAACACAAATTGATTAATAATTTCAAATAATCAAAGAAAAAAAAATAGAGAAGAGATTGATTAATAAGAAAAAAACAATCTTTTAATAAATCTAATCAAGAAATTAAAAACAGTAATTTACATAACGTACAGCTAAATTCTTAATTTTGTAACACACGTGTTACTGTCATACATATTAAAGGTACTGTACTCATTGTACAGTACGCATGCAAGTCGTCGAATATCTTTAAAAAAAATATAACAATGAAATTAAATTATAATCATGATTTATTACAAGGTACGCTACAATTATTTTTTTAAGGTTAAATATCTAAAAAATAACATGTAGGTCATAGTTCATAATACCGTACATACTAAACTATGTATAATAATATTATTAAGATATTATTAAAAGAAAAGACGTTGTTTACGTCTGCTTCAATGAATTTAGTGGTAGACGAGAGATAGCTAAAGGAGCCTATGCCGAAGTGTTTAAAGCCTATTGGTCTACGAAAAGCACAACTGTAGCACTTAAACGCTTGTTTGATAACAGCAATAACTTTCAAATATTACTACATGAGGTAGGTTGAAAATTACTTTTCATTTATATGAATATTTTTAACGTCTCCTAACGTGTCGAAAAAAACAGTTAAAACTAATTCAGGCACTAGAGTCACATGATAATATAATAAAGTTTTACGGTATAACTCGAGGTAGTGCTGTTTCTTAATGAAATTATTTTTAGAAAAAGAAACAAATAGAATAATACCTAATAACTATTAAAATAGATCCAGAGAATAAATACAGTATAATACTAGAATATTCTAACGGAGGGAATTTGCGAGATTACCTGCGCAAAAAATTCTCATCTCTTAATTGGTCGGAGAAAATTGATATCGCAAAGCAGATTGCCTGTGGACTTTCGTATATTCATAATAAAAATGTAACTCACAGAGATTTGGTATGTTATATGTGGATAAGGATTTATCGTACTTTATATTTAGTAAATAAACGTTTAAGATGTCAACTAATTTATCGTAAATATGTACACTAGCATTCTAAAAATATTTTAATTCACAATGGCCGAATTAAAATTGCAGACTTTGGATTATCAAAATCGTTAGATGCTAATTCAACATCCCTTCATGGCGGAATGACCGCCTATGTTGATCCAGAATACCTAATGAATAATAAATATGAGAGAAAAAAGCCTTCTGACATTTATAGTATTGGAGTGTTATTTTGGGAGATTTCAAGTGGAAGACCTCCATTTAAAGACATGAATTCTGTGCAAATCGCTTTAAAAGTTGTTCAAGGTCGACGAGAGGAACCAATAGATGGGACACCATTGGAATATGTTACTCTTTATTCCTGTGCATGGCATAAATCTGTAGAACAACGACCTGATATTCATCAAGTAGAAAATGCTCTTAAAGTTATTTGTTTGGAACCAGCATATTCACACAATGTAAATTACTCAATAAACCCAATGTCCAATGTGATCAATGTTGACATAACACATTCTATGGGTAAGTAAATAAAGATATTATAACACATTTATATACGTTTGTATTTTAATTATTTATTATTAATTCTTATTTAAAAGAGCAAAATTTTTATGGTCTCAACATGTTGGTATTTTAATCGAGATACAATACTTATTCTCCTTACATAGAATAGTTAAGTATCTGGCGCTAAATTAATCGATTAACTTTTGTTATTCCTAAATAGCAATTCTTCAGTAGATACATATAAACCTGAAACTCTTTTTTCTAGTCAAACGGAAAGCTTGTAAGTGTTTAATAAACATGATTCATAATGAACTTCAAGTCATCTTACCTTATTGCTATATAGCAGGCGAGTATGACGTTTATTCCTTATAAATAAATAATGAACTTTCTTCAAGTAATTATAATTAGGAAGTAAGTCTATATTAAATTTATATTCAATATCTGAAATAATAATTTCATAAATATATAATTAATATATTAAACTTTTTTTAGACTCACATACAAATAAGTAATTTCCTGCTCGATGCCTTTTAGTATATCAAATGCGCTACCATTGAATTGGGAGTGAGTATAGTATAAGCTTATCGATTAAGTTAATTGTTAACCTATTCGCAAGTATTATTCCTTATTTTATGTTAAATTATTTAATCAACAGAGAGTACGTATAATTTTAACTATGTCTGCATTTGAAACAATTATGTTTATTTAATTTGATTATTACTAAATATAATTGACAATGAGTAAGTATAAATCTCACTACAATTTTATCTGCCGATTTCCGTTGAGCAACATTTAATTTTTTTCTTCTCGTGATAATGCTTATCCACACGATCAAAAAGTATTAGATTGTATGTATTTATACTCATGCATAGTATACAGTAAATGGTTAGGAGATTTCTTTCTAATCAGTTATACTCTTATCCGATAGTGAGTGCGTATACAGTGTATAGTACTTTACTATATTATTTGATCTATATATTAAATTCATCAATCAATTATTTATATTTGCGCAAATCACAGAAAGTAAGTATAAACCTTCTGATTTCATAGTTCATTTGGTTCATTGCTGTACAACATTTCAATAAATTGTATTCTCAATAAACAATAGGCGGTAAGTATTTAGATACATTAAAATCAGAGAGGCAATCACCAGTAGAGCTTTTCTAATTAACTAAAATTATGATTTATCAATAGCGAGTGAGCATAAATTTTCCTTATGTTCTAATTTATGTTAATGTACTTAACAACTTTTTGATTAACCACATATGCTAAATCTTAGAAGGTATGTGTAAAATTTGCGTTATAATTTTCATATTAATTTAATCATAATAGCATTCTCGATTTATTACAATTAATTAGGCGGCAAGTGTATACAGTACTCATTAGATTCGTTTGGTTGATTATGCACAAAATGACATTTTCTTTTTGACAAATATCGAATTATTTCTAGTTTGTATGTTTTTTTTTTATTTGATGACAAATAACTTTAATTAATGTCTTTAATTTGCCTCAAATTTTTTAAATAACTAGTCTGTAAGTAAAATTTTAAGTTAATATTATTGTCGGATGACAATTTTAAATGAATTGATCCCCAAAATTAACAGGAAGTGGGTACTATTTAATATTTATTCTATCCTTATATTAATTATTAATAATGTGTCCTAATCAATAAACATTTCTAAATTAGAATATAGTAAGTATGAACTTAAGTTAAAATCAAATGTCAAACTTTTCTAAAATAACATTTCGATGTCGACCATGCGTTAATTAGCGGAGAGTAAGTTATATTTTTACAGAGTTTATGTTTAAAATTTTAACATACTGCAAATAATTATTAGTAATATTATATTAAAATTATCAGGAAGTATGTATTTATTTATGTTTTCTGGTTAATTATATATACATTATCTTTTCTAGCTTGTTAGTACAAAGATTTCTATGTCCAATCAATGTTGTATTATTTGATCGGATATTAATCCATTAATTTAACTTAGACGTAATGAATGTGATCGACGGTGCGCCGGACTCGAGTGGTGTCATTATTGCAATGCTAAACGGTTTCTGGACGACTCTAAGAATTGGACAAGTGGTAATCCTATCATAGATAAATTTATTTTGGACATCCAAGTTAAAGCCTCTAATTCAGATGAAGTCATCGAGTGGATCCCATTTGACAAGCTTAAAAATGTGACACTTGAAAGTGTTGGATCATACAATAGATTTTATAAAGCAGAATGGCAAGATGGCTATATTGTTCGTTGGAATAACGTAAATAATGAGTGGGATCGATGTTCTAACAAGGCTATTTGTTTAAGAAAATCTAAATATTCATATGGTGATGTTTACTCTAAATTTTTACGCGAGGTATGTATTTCATGTGTTTGTAGTAATTCTACAAAAATCAAATCATTAACGGTAAATACGGTAGATCCAGTTTCAACTGACATTCAGGAGGAAAGGTGCAGCACTCTCTATTTACGGAATAACAAAAGATCCTCGTACGATGGACTACATAATGGTTATGGATTATGCTAACGATGGAAGTCTTCAAGGTGTGATCGACGATAAATTTGAAAGACTTGATTGGAACATTAAAATGGCCAATCTATATTTAATTATTAAGAGTCTTAATGAGATACACAAAGAAGGACTAGTGCATAAAAACATCCACCTCGGTAGCATAGTTTGTCATGGCATATCTGATCCATACCTGAGCGGCTTTATTTTTTGCGGAAGAGTATCTGATAACCCTATTAATTATCCTCCAATTAAATACATAGCCCCAGAAGTTCTGTCTAAAGATCGAAAGCACACGAAGGCGTCCGATATTTATTCATTTGGTATCGTCATGTTGGAAATTTTAATCAAAAATCTTCCTCCAACCAACAACAATATCCTAGCAAACACCAAACCCTCGTTTTTGGCATATTTTTATAACAGAATAATCAACATAATCAAACCTAGAAAAAACCGTCTACGAGCTCAAACAATCAAAGGTGGTGTGTTTATTACAAGTAGTAATATTCCCAGACTACTCAAAAATTTGATTATAAGATGTCTGGACGTCAATCCTGATAACCGACCAACTTGTGAAGAACTAATTGATGTTTTTACGCAAGTGAAATCTAGAAAAGCTGGTTATTATATCGATGAATCATCGGAGCTATACAGACAAATCCAAGAAATTGAATTATCAAACAATTGAAGTAGATACCTTGGATTCATTTTAATCCTTATTGATTATGTTATGTTTAAATTTAGATTGCTGGCCATTTTATAATAATTTTTTTTCATTCAATAAGATATTTTATTTATCTATTTTATTTTTTTTAAATTCAACGGATAGTAATGGGTTAAGGGGGATAGGCTTTTGTATTATCATTATGTTTAATAAGCTCTTACCGTGGATTCTCATCTATCTATATGCTTGTAACTTGAATAGCAAGATTGATGGTTCAAATTTTCAAAGAAATCTAGAATAAACATCTTATTTAAAAAATGATAAATTTTCTTACTTTTGTAAATATTTTAGATATAATATTATTTTTTTAATTTATAATTTATAAATTAATTATTATAGTATACAGTATATAATACATTTTTATGACTTACAAAGCACCGCTGATATAATCACGGCTATAGCGTGGTGATGCACAACATTTAGTAGTGACCTTATCATTATAAAAGCAACGTAAATTTTTCAAGTATTTCCTCTAAAATTGTTGAATGAACTGATGCTCAAATCCGTATATTTATTGATGGGTTAGAAATAGAAACGAGGAATTTTATAATCTTGGAAGGAATAGAATCAAATTTTGTGATAGCATTACAATCAGGATTAATCGAGAGTAGGACACAAGCTTTAATGGGTACCAATGTGAAGAAAAATTTATGAATCTTGTTCAGAATTACAATGTAAGCATGACAATAGGAATTTATCCAGATCAGATTTTTTTATAAGTTTTAATAATTAAAAAAACAAAAAGTAATTATTTAATTTTTTTTTATAAGATTGAATATCAATGATTCGATAAAACAAAATAGCAATTTTTAATTATTTTTTAGGTATTTGGTTAACAATAAAAATATTAGAATCTAAATAAGAGTATGCATATATTCTAAATTGATTAGTTCAGATTATTTATGATTATTAAATATATACTTTACAAATTAAATTTATGATTAAAAGACTTTTTTTAACATATTTAGACTTCTGCTATATTTTTTAAAAAAGTAAAAAAATAAAAAAATAAATAATTTTTTCATATAGTAGTTCCACTCAATTATATATAGTTATAGTATGAAAGATTTTTAGCATTTTGAAGGTTTATTTCTTATATATAAAAAGGGTGCAATGTACAAGTAATAAAAGACAATAAAATATCTTATCTACTGACCGTTGCATCATGTAATATATTTACTTACTCATGTCATATCCAAATGTCTCTTTTAATATGACACAATTAGCATTGAGATGTAGCAATAGACTTTTTAATTTCTTCCTAACCACGTGAATCTTTAATTCTTTATACTTTTCAAATAAAAGTATATATTCAAATATAATCATTGTCAAACAATTTAATGAAATCATGATTTTTAGTTATTTAGACCTAATTTCTTATTTGTTATTTAATTGAATAAAAATAATAAAATCTATATGTAAATATTTATTATTAAACCCTTCATTATATATAAAAATAATACTTTCTTTAAATTTAAAAATTTTTAAAAAGTTTATACCATATAAAATCAAGTCAATAACATATACGAATAAATATTTATTTTAATGTGATAACAATTTATCTAATTATTATTCATGAAATAAAAATATCTAAATTAATAAAACATATCTTAAAAATATAAGTGTAAATTGCTTAACTGTTAGTTTATGATATCATCGGAACTTTTTTTTTACTTTATTAGCTATTGAGTTACGAATAAAAAAATATATGGTTTTATTATTCATTTATCGTTTATATTATATAGAATTATTTATTTATTTTTTAAATTAAATTTAAATAGACATTAATTGGAGTTAATAATATCGAATATATTTATTCTTTTTATTACACATTGTATTGTTTGATTTATTATGCCGTATTAAAATAAAAAATTATTCGTGTATCTTTGTTGTGAGACAGTATCCAAAAATGGATCTAGTCCTTTATGGCAATATAGCATTCTATTAACGTGATAACGTTTACGTTATAATTATTGCATATTAAATTACTGCTCCTGTATACAGTATCTAATTATATTAAAACCATGACTTTAGTAAATGATAAATATCGCATAAACACAAATTGATAACCATTTCAAATTATTAAAGAAAAAAAAATAGAAAGAAACGATTGACGAGTAAGAAGAAAAAACACAGACTCTTAATAAATCTAATCGAAAAATTAAAAACAGTAATTTACATAATGTACAACCAAATTCTTTGGATTTCTTGATTTTGTAACACACGTGCTACTATCGTACGCATTAAAAATACGCATTGTACACATGCAAGCCGTCGAATGCCTTCTCTAAAAAAATATAACAATGGAATTAAATGATCATGATTTTTTACAAGGTACTGTAAAATATTTTTTTAAGTTTAAATATGCTAATAAAAAATAACATGTGGGCCAATATCGTATATACTAAACTATGTGCAATAATATTATTAAAAGAAATGATTAAAAGAAAAGACGTTATTTACGTCTCCTTCGATAAATTTAGTGGTAGAAAAACGATAGCTAAAGGAGCCTATGCCAAGTGTTCAAATTCTATTGGTCTACGGAAAGCAAAACTGTAGCCCTTAAATGCTTGCTCGATAACAGCAATGACTTTCAAATATTACCCATGAGGTAGGTTGAAAATTACCCTTAATTTATATGAATATTTTTAACGTCTTCTAACGTGTCGAAAAAAATAGTTAAAACTAATTCAGGCACTAGAATCACATGATAATATAACAAAGTTTTACGGTATAACTCGAGGTAGTGTCGTTTCTTAATACAAAATTTTTCAGAAAAAGAAACAAATAGCATGACACCTAATAACCATTAAAAATAGATCTAGAGAATAAATACAGTATAATACTAGAATATTCTAATGGGAGGGAATTTGCGAGATTACCTGCGCAAAAAATTCTCATCTCTCAATTGGTCGGAGAAAATTGATATCGCAAAGCAGATTGCCTGTGGACTTTCGTATATCCATGATAAAAATGTAACTCACAGAGATTTGGTATGTTTCATGTAGATAAAGATTTATTCGTATTGATATTTAGTAAATAAACGATTGAGATGTCAACTGACTTATCGTAAATATATACAACTAGCATTCTAAAAATATTTTAATTCACAATGGTCAAATTAAAATTGCCGACTTTGGATTATCAAAATTATTAGATGCTAGTTCAACATCCCTCCATGGCGGAATGACCGCCTATGTTGATCCAGAATATCTATTGTATAATAAATATAAGAGAAAAAAGCCTTCTGATATTTATAGTATTGGAGTATTATTTTGGGAGATTTCTAGTGGAAGACCTCCATTTAAAGACATGGATTCTGTGCAAATCGCTTTAAACGTTGTTCAAGGTCGAAGAGAGGAACCAATAGACGAGACACCATTGGAATATGTTAGACTTTATTCTTGTGCATGGCATAAATCTGTAGAACAACGACCTGATATCAATCAAGTAGAAAATGCTCTTGAAGTTATTTGTTTGGAACCAGTATATTCACACAATGTAAAATACTCAATAAACTCAATGTACGACGTGATGGATATCGACATAACAGATTCTATGAATAAGTAATAATAATTTTATGACACATTCATATACGTTCACGTTTCACTTATTTATTATTTATTATTATTTAAAAGAGCAAGGTTTTCATGATCTCAAAATGTAGGTATTTTTAATCGAGATAGAATACTTATTCTCCTTACATAGATGGTTAAGTATCAGGAGTTAACTTAATCGATTAACTTTTGTTATCCCAAATATAACTTCTCCAGTAGATACATATGAACTTGGAACTCGTTTTTCTAGTCAAACGGGAAGCTTGTAAGTGTTTAATACACATGATTCGTAATGAACTTCAAGTAATCTTGCCTTATTATTAAATAGCAGGCGAGTATGACGTTTATTCCTTATAAATAAATAATGAACTACCTTCAAGCAATTATAATCAGGAAGTGAGTATATATTATATTATAATCAAATATTTAAAATAATACTTTACATTAATATATTAACCTTTTTTTTGACTCACGTACAAATAAGTAATTACAACTCGATTACTTTTAGTATATCAAATGCGCTACCATTGAATTGGAAGTGAGTACAGTACAATATTGTCAATTCAGTCAATAGTCAACCTATATGCAAGTGCTATTCCTTATTTTATGTTAAATCATTTAATCATCAGAGAGTACGTAAAATTTACTATACCTGAGATAATTATACCATGCCTGCATTTGAGATGATTATGTTTATTTGATTTGACTATTACTAAATATAATTGACAGGAAGTAAGTATAAAGTCACTACAATCTATCTGCCGACTTCCGTTGAGTACTACTAAATTTTTTTCTTCTCGCGATCATGCAAATTCATACGAACAAAAATCATTAGATTGTATGTATTTATACTCATACACAACGGCAATGGTTAGATTTCTTTCTAATCAGTTATGTTTTGTCCAATAGTGAGTGCGTATACAACGTAGGATTTTACATATGATTTGATACATACTGCATTCAATTTATTGATCAATTGATTATATTGCACAAACCACAGAAAGTAAGCATAAGCTTCAAGGGTTCATAGTTCATTTTATTTGTTGCCGTACAACATTTCAATAAATTGTATTCTTGTTAAATAATAGTCGGACGTAATTACCGATGGAACTTTTCTAATGAACTAAAATTACGCTTATTAACAGCGAGTGTGTATAAAATTTCCTTAAGTTCTAATTTATGTTAATATATATACTGAACAACTTTTGATCAACCACATATGCTAAATTTTTGAAGGTATGTATTAAATTTACGAGATACCATTCATATTAATTATCTAATAGCATTCTCAATTTATTAAAATTTATTAGGCGGCAAGTGTATACAGTACTTCATTAGTTTCGTTTGGTTAATGATGCACAATATGACGCTTTCCTTTTGAAAAATATCGAATTATTTTTAGTTTGTATGTTTCTTTTATTTGATGACAAATAACTTTATTTAACATGTCTTTAATTTGCCTTAAATTATTTAAATGACTAGCCTGTAAGTAAAATTTTATGTTCATATTATTGTTGAATGACAATTTTAAATAAACTGATTTCCAAAATTAACAGGAAGTGAGTATTATTTAATATTTATTTTGATCTTTTATTTATTACTAACAATGTGAACTAATCAATAAACATTTCTAATTAGAATAGAGTAAGTATGAACTTAAGTTGAAATTAAATGTTCAAACTTTTCTAAAATATTATTTCGATATCGACAATGCGTTAATTAGCGGAGAGTAGGTTAGATTTTACAGAGTTTATGTTTAAAATTTTAATATACTGCAAATAATTATTAGTAATATTATACAAAAATCATCAGGAAGTATTTATTTATCTATTTCATAATATTGATTTCGTTTTTCTGATAAATTGTATATATCGACTTTTCTTGCTTGTTAGTACAAAGATTTTTAGGTTCAATTAATGGTTTATTCTTTGATCAGACATTTAATAGCTTGATTTAACTTACAGTAGATGTGATGAATGTGGTCAGCGGTGCGCCGAACTCGGGTGGTGCAATTATTGCAATGCTAGGCGGTTTCTGGACGACTCTAAGAATTGGACAAGTGGCAATCATATTGTAGATAAATTTATTTTGGACAACCAAGTTAAAGCCTCTAATTCAGATGAAGTCGTCGAATGGATCCCGTTTGATAATCTTAAAAATGGGATATTTGAGAGAGTTGGATCATATAATACATTTTTTAAAGCAGAATGGCAAGATGGCTATATTGTTCGTTGGAATAATGTAAATAATGAGTGGGATCGATGTTCTAACAAGGCTATTTGCTTAAGGGAATCTAAATATTTATGTGGTGATGATTATTCTGAATTTTTACGCGAGGTATGTATTTTATATTTTCGTAATCTTAACAAGAATTGAATTATTAATGGTTAATTCTGTAAATACGGTAGATACAATATCAACTAATATTCAGGAGGAAAGGTGCAGCACTCGCTATTTACGGAATAACAAAAGATCCCCTTACGATGCGCTACATGATGGTTATGGATTATGCTAGCTATGGAAGTCTTCAAAGTGTGATAGATAATGAAAGACTTGATTGGAACATTAAAATGGCCAATTTATATTTAATTATTAAGAGTCTTAATGAGATACACAAAGAAGGACTGCTGCATAAAAACATCCACCTTGGTAGCATAGTTTGCCATGGCATATCTGATCCATACCTGAGCGGCTTTATTTTTTGCGGGAGAGTGTCAGATAACCCTATTGATTATCCTCCAATTAAATACGTAGCCCCGGAAGTTTTGTCTAAAGATCGAAAACATACGAAGGCGTCCGATATTTATTCATTTGGTGTCGTTATGTCGGAATTTTAATCAAAAATCTTCCTCCAACCAACAACAATATCCTAGAAAACTCAAAATCCCCATTTTCGACATATTTTTATGACGGAATAACCGATCAAATCAAAAAAACAAAAAAT